TTATTATTATTATTATTATTATTATTATTATTATTATTATTATTATTGTTGTTGTTGTTGTTGTTGTTGTTGTTGTTGTTGTTGTTGTTGTTGTTGTTGTTGTTGTTGTTGTTGTTATTGTCATTGTTGTTATTATTGTTATTACTATTATTATTGTTGTTGTTATTATTATTATTGTTGTTGTATTATTGTCGTTTATAATTTGTACAATTAACCTCCCTGTGGTTCGACCCCGGTCTTGCCAGGTTATTTATTACTTCGACACTCCTGCACTTGGGAGAAGACATCAATCTTTTCATCGTGTCAATTTACCATGCAAACCTTTTAAAAATTTTATGGTCACATATTTGTTTACTCTTTAGTTAAAATGTTGTATTTTCTATATTAATATCATATATTCTTAGACTACTGGTGTAATTTTCTGATTATCAAATTAAGATAATTTGACTAGATAATGCTTATGAGTTTACTTCTCAAGAATTTAATAATTTTTGCATTTCTATTGGAATTGATGTTAAACATTCGATTGCTCATGTATATACTCAAGATAGTCTAGCAAAATCATTTGTAAAATGACTTTAATTAATTGTTAGACCATTACTTATGAAACCATAATTACCTACATCAATTTAGGGATATATTATATTACATATTGCATCATTGGTTAGAATTAGACCAAGTGCTTATCATAAATATTCTATTTTGCAACTTGATTTTGTTATACCATTAAATATATTTCATTTATGAACTTTTGTTTAGATGGTATATGTGCCTATAACACCCTTATAAATGACTAAAGTGGGTCATAATACATAATGAGAATTTATGTTGGCTTTGATTCTCCTTATATTATTAGATTCTTTAAACTTTTTAACTAATAATGTTTATAAGGCACATTTTAAAAACTATCATTTTGATGAGAACATTTTTTCATTATTAGGGAAAACAAATTAGTGCATGAAGCAGGATAAGAAATTACTTAAAATAACCCAAGGTTATTTTATTTTGATTTAAGAACAAATCAATGTGAACTTAAAATTCAAAAGATAATTTATTTACAAAATATTACAAATAAATTATCACATATTTTCACTAATAGTAAAAAAATGTTTAAATCCCACATTTCAATTATAAATGCTCCATCTAGAATTACAATCCCTGAAGTATAAAAGATAACATAGTAGTAAATGAATCCATATCATGCCTGAAACGTGGAAGGTATGTTAGTGCTAAGGACAAAACTATTAGAAAACAAAAATTATAATAAATAAATAATGCTACTCTTGAAAAGTCCTCATCCATAAAACAAGTGACAAATATTATGTCCAAATCATTTTCTAATATTGATCCTCTTGAAGAGAGACCTTCTAAAAAGGCATCTCTTAAAAAGATCCAGGTACTTGAATATAATGAGATCTTCATAAATTATATTTATATAAGAGAGATTTTAGACCAGAATAAAATTTTCATAAATATTATATTTGTATTAAGGTTGTTTTTGGCATCACTAAAAGTATTATGAATTTGAGTCATAAACTATAAAAAAATATTGATATATAAATGATTAACCAACGTGGAAAGAAGTAATCCAAATGAAGTTAAACTCACTTACATAACATTAAGTATTTGGACATAGAGTTCTTATACCTAAAGATATTATGCCTATTGGATATAAGTGGATTTTTGTTAGAAAACAAAATGAGAACAATGAAATTGTACGATATGAAGCAAGACTTGTTGCATAAGATTTCTCACAAAGACTTGACATTGATTATGAAAAAAACTTATTCTCTAGTTATGGATGCAATTACTTTTAGATTTTTGATTGATTTAGTAGTTTCAAAACTCTAGATATGTGCTTAATAGATGTAGTTACAACATGTCTATCAGAATCATTAGATAAAGATATCCATATGAAAATTCTTGAAGGATTTAAAATGCCAAAAGCCTTTTATGATAAACTTATAAGTGTTTATCCCATTAAACTACAAGAAATTTATATGGTTAAAACAATCTAGTTAGATGTTGTATAATCATTTTAAATAATATCTCCTAGAAAAGAGGTTCGAGAATAATAATATTTTCCCAGCCATTTTTATTAAGAAAACAACATCCAAATTTGTTATTTTTGCAGTATATGTCAATAATTTAAATCTTATTGGTACTCTTGAAGAGCTTATAAAAACTACAGTCTATTTGGAAGATGAATTTGAGATGAAAGATCTTGAAAAGATATAAAAATTTCTTGATTTACAAATCAAACATCTCTAAAATGGAATACTTATTCATCAATCGACATATACAAAAAAAAGGTCCTTAAATGCTTTTACATGGACAATGATCATCCTTTAAGTGCATTTATGGTTGTTCAATCACTTGATGCAAATAAAGATCATTTTCGACCACTAGAAAAGGATGGAGGAATTCTTGGTCCAAAAGTACTATATCTTAGTGTTATTGGTGCACTTATGTATCTTGTAAATTATATAAGACCAAATATAGCTTTTGCAATCAATTTGTTAGTAAGATACAATTCTAATCCCATTAAAAAACATTGTAATATGGCCAAATATATACTTAGCTATCTCTACGAGACAACCAAAATAAGGTTATTTTATAATGGATCAAATTCATAATTGATTGGATATGCAGATACATGTTATCTCTTTGATCCCTTAAAAGGAATATCACAAACAAATTATCTATTTACCTATAAAGGTAATGCAATTTCTTGGAGATATGTCAAACAAACATTAATGGCTTCTTCATCAAATCATTTATAAATTATTGCAATCCACAAAGTAAGTCACGAATGTATGTTGATACAATCAATTATCCAGCATATAAAAGCAAAATATGAATTGTCATCGTTTAATGAATTTGTCCAAAATATTGGAATGCATCATTTTAAAGAATTACATAAGATATGTACTTTTGAAGTAAAGTCAATACAAATTGTACTCCTTTTTCTTTGCTTAGGTTTTTCCCCATTAAGTTTTACTTTGCAAGGTTTTAATGGAGCAATTTTGTATTTTTTTTAAATCCTGAAGTATTCAAATATGGATCTTGAAGTATCTATATAAAACCCTCTAATGAATTCTAAAGTATTCAAAAATCACACAAGAATGTTGTGTTATTCTTTCTTCATTCATGTTTTCTTCATTTGGATTTTCCTTTGCAAGGTTTTAATGAGATATATTTTTACTACATGGTTGTTTAAGAGAAAGTGTTATATATATATATATATGGAATACCCATTAGAATTTGTTGGACTTCTATGACTCTTGAGTTTAGCCTCTTGGATTCCTATGATATTTAAGTTTTATAGTGTCTTTTAATATTTTCATTTCATTCTCTTATAAATATACTACTCATCTTGTATTCTAATAATTTTAAAAGAATTTAGAAATTCTCTTTTAAGATTTACTAGACCTATGCTAGGTGAGGGCCTATCAATTTTTTTTTTAAATATATAGCATGAATGTTTAAGCAATGGTAGTATAAGTAAAGAAGTTAGAAAAACCTAATGCTTGATTTGTTAGCTTAACTGGATTCAATAAAATTAAGTAATGTAAAACTTTGATTTAAAGCATAGGCAATGATAACAGACGAACCATACATAAAAGTTTTGGTAACAATTAACTAAAACAAATAAGTTGTTAATATCATACATGAAATAAAAAGAAAGAAAAGATCAATGAAGACTCACTATCATTCCACTGTGGATAATACCCACCGCTAAAAGACCTTGTTGAGATAGTCCAAACCCCACTATAAAAGAGTGTATGATGACATTAAAAGAAGTCACATGGATCGCTAGAGCAATATTGTAAAAAAAAAGAAAAAAAGAAGCGATAATTCAATTATATTCAACCAATCAATTCTATTTAATTCAAGAATAGAACTTATGTATAAAAATAAACTTCATAAAAAACAATAATTAGAAGACCTAAGAGAACCCTATCAAATTAAAAAACAAATGATAAAACATAGAACACAGAAAATTAAAAAAAATATAGCCTGATTTCTAATTAAATAAATATCAAAAGATAAAACTAAAAAAAATTAAATAATTAGATGTTATAGTGTTATCTATAACTAATTATACCTTAATCCACAATATATACAGTAAAAAAACTCACACGTTTTAGAGTTTTGATAATGTTTTCTCTTTTTTTTTTTTTTTAATTCTAATGTCTATGTTTATATTATTCTTTCACATAAATTACATACATAATTCTTAACAATCTAGATGGTCCATTCACATTTTCCATCCCATCCTAGTCCAGAACCCCAAGGCCATACCGAATGCAATACCATAAACTACCCCCCGTCCCTACCCCATCTCAACTTCAATTTCTCTAAACCCAAAATAAAAAAAATCTCTCCTTCACAGTCACTCCACAAGCTACCAAAACCAAACCCCAATCCTCCCCCCCTCCCCCACTTAGATTCCATCCTCCCTCACTGGGCTAATCGGTACGTTTATCTCTTCCTCTAATCAATCTCTCGCTTAACATCTTCATATTCGAATCTTATTAGGCCTCAGGGTTTATGGTTTTATTAGCAGCACCCTTTTTTTATTTCATTTTAAAAATTTTGATTGGTGTTCGTCGCTTGTTTGGCAGTTTACTATACTTTATGCTTCCTATAAAGCGACCTGTTGAAGCAGTGCTGGTTGAAGGAGAAGAAGCACCAGATAACAGCATATCAGATTCATTTTCTTGCAAAAAGAACCGGATCGATTGCTCCTTGGAATCGAACGTGTCTAGTAACAAAAACAGTTGCGTTATTGGTAATTGCAGTGACACCGACAGAGAAAGTAACAACCACTGTAAAGGGGAGTTGATCATGTCACCTGGTGATTCGAAACCGATGGAGATTGATGAGGATCTTCACAGTCGCCAGCTTGCTGTTTATGGAAGAGAGACGATGCGAAGGCTTTTTGGTTCCAACGTTCTTGTTTCCGGGATGCATGGTCTTGGTGTTGAGATTGGTATGAATTATGAGACTTTTTTTTTAGTTGATGCTACTGGGTGGTTTTCCCTTTGTGATTTGTTGGATTTGCGTGTGAATAGATTGCTTTGTTGATATAAGGTTTGGTTTCTGTGGTTTTGAAGTTTGGTTCATTTATTATGTTTTAAGGTTAGGATAGGCAAAATTGGATCTGCGCAATCCAACCACAGACCTAAAATATAGCAAAGAAGGGTGCAGCACATGAAATAGAGATGGTTAATGGAGATTTGTGTGGTCACTATAGCTATGATTGGATTTGCCCCTAAAATATAGATGGAGGCCTTGGCACTCTAAACTAAATACGGGTGGCTTTAAATCATCCGAGACTGCTTGGATCATCAAGATAACCCTGTTAAAGGGGATGCTTATCTTACAAAATAGAGCCTGATTTTCTGAGCAAGAAATTTCAAATCTGTTTTTCTCATTCCCTGGCTTCAAATTACCGAATCATTTCTGTGAGGGAGACACAGAGAAGGGAGGGGGGATGGAGCACATCATACATAGATGATTGAGCATAGTAAACTTAAAAACTTGTTTTATTTTGCAGAAAATGCTTAAAGAAAAAACCTTAAAACTAATTTACTTTGATAATAGTTGCTGACTTCTCTCCTGGCAAGTGAACTTGATCTTAGATCTTTCAATTTGACCTCTCAAGCTCTTTTTATTCTTCCTGGAACTTCTCATTTTCCATTTTGGTACTGCATTGTTCAAGATCTGGGTTCAGCTTTATGCTTGTGCAATATATTAAAAAGCGACAATCCTTACGCACTCATGACCAGTAGTATCAAATGTCTTTATCATTAGCTTCTCAACCACTTTGGTGATTGGTCTTGGAGCTAACACTGGAGAAGGACTCTGGATTTATTGATATTTGTTTTTTTTTTGGTTTGGTTTGTATATATCATGGGTTTGAGTAACAAATAAAAAAGAAATTTAAAATTAAAATTGTGATTGCAAAAGGGAGCTTCTGCCAGCTATTTCTCTTCACATCTTTTCCATATTAGTCCTGCTTGTCTTTTTATCTCAAATTTTGATAGAATCAATTGGAGTCATATCAGTTGGATTGTTATTTTTATTAACCTTGCACCAGATAGTCTGTAATATATATTATTTTTCCTTTGGGTGTGGGGTGATTATCTAAAACTGTAGAAGCCATTGCTTGAGTTGAGATAGCATTATTTAAGGAATGCTAATGTCTTTAATTTGGATTGATTCTTGTTCCTATTGGTGTTAAAATTTATTGACTCTTTCTGTCTCTCTAATGTGTATCTATCTGCTGTAATTCTCGCACTACAGCAAAAAACCTCATTCTTGCTGGTGTCAAGTCTGTGACATTGCATGATGAAGGAATATTGGAGCTGTGGGATTTATCCAGCAACTTTGTTTTTTCCGAGAATGATGTTGGTAAGAACAGGGCCCTAGCATCTGTTCAGAAGTTGCAGGATCTCAACAATGCAGTCACCATCTCTACCTTAACTACAGAATTGACAACAGAACAACTTGATAAGTTCCAGGTACTTCCTTGTTTCTCCACTTTGATATTATCAGAAGAAATCCTGTCCAAATATATGCATTGTGCCATCTTGGCCACCGTTTTATATTCTTGATTAAACCTGCAATTTGCTTAGCAGGTACTTTATCAAGGTTACCAGTAAATCTTTCTTTCACAGGAAAAAATGTTATTACAAATGCATGTCAGAATATGCTACTGAATTTGGATTTTTGTTGTTATATTATATGCATTTATCTAAATCATTTGTATTGTCAATGACTGATTTTCTCTTGCAACAAATTAGGTGGTCAATGCCAGTTAAGGTTCGCAGCTTAATTATGCTATTCTAGACAGGGCCTGTAATTATTTTATGCTACATGCACAACCCTACAAAAGTGAAAACATAGAACTGGCCCGTTTCTTTCTGTGTTGCATCATGTTGTTGTGTGACCTTACACTGCAAGACATGCCAACTCTTAAGAATACAATTGCTTGGTTCAATGAACTTCCAATGTCTTCTGTCCACAAAAGCTTGCAAGCATAATATTCACTTAACAAAAAATAAAATTTATAACCTGTTATATAAGATGGTCTCATTGTTTCAACTCCCAAAAGCATTAAATGTTCTAAGAAATTATAATGGAAGGCATGAACAAGAGGACAGGAGTGAATATTAGTGTGCAGGTGTACTCATCTTGGTACAAAGGATCGCATTGCATCACCTTTTCGGTGTGTTAATAAGATTCTAAGATAATCTAAATGCTAAAGTGAAGGATTTATATCTTCATGCAAATATGGGAAAAAAACCATCCAATGACGTTATGTTTCAGTGGATCATAACTGTGTCCAGGGTGGCCTGTAAGCCAACAGTCCCCCAAAATCTTCAAAATTCACTAAAGTCCCTATGATTTGGTATATGCTTCATATTAGTCCCCATAACAAGCTGTTATTTTTTTATTTGAGGTCATGTTGTGTCTAAGATGCCCCCCTAACAATTCTATTCATCTTCTGCTATTGATTGTGTCTTCTATTTCTTCATTGGGTCTGCTTGAATACATTGCCTATCTTATTTTACAGAAATCATATGTATTTGCTTATACTGCTTCATGCCAGATGCTTGTTTTCTGGTGGTGCAGGCTGTCGTATTTACAGATCTCAATCTTGACAAAGCCATTGAGTTTAATGACTACTGCCATAATCATAAGCCCCCCATCTCTTTTATCAAGGCTGAAGTTAGAGGTCTCTTTGGCTCTGTGTTTTGTGACTTTGGACCTGAATTCACAGTGTTTGATGTTGATGGAGAGGAACCACACACTGGTATAATTGCATCTATCAGCAATGATAACCCTGCACTGGTGTCATGCGTTGATGACGAAAGGCTTGAGTTTCAAGATGGGGATCTTGTTGTTTTCTCTGAAGTGAAGGGAATGACAGAAATGAATGATGGAAAACCAAGAAAGATTAAAAATTCCAGACCATATTCATTTAATCTCGAGGAGGACACCACAAACTTTGCTACCTATGAGAAAGGTGGGATTGTCACACAGGTGAAACAACCCAAGGTGTTGAATTTTAAGCCATTGAGAGAAGCAATTAAAGATCCCGGTGAATTTCTATTGAGTGATTTCTCCAAGTTTGACCGTCCACCTCTCTTGCACTTGGCATTTCAAGCACTGGACAAGTTCGTGTCTGAGATGGGTCGTTTCCCTGCTGCTGGTTCAGAAGAAGACGCTCAGAAGCTTATATCTCTGGCAAGTCACATCAATGAAAACTCCGGAGATGTGAGAGTAGAGGACATTAACCAAAAGCTGTTGCGGCACTTTGCGTTTGGTGCCAGGGCTGTACTGAATCCTATGGCAGCTATGTTTGGTGGTCTAGTGGGACAAGAGGTTGTCAAAGCATGTTCTGGAAAGTTTCATCCTCTCTTTCAGGTTGGTATCAATTTTTTGTTTTGTTGAAACTTCTTAAGTCTCTCTCTCTAGCCAACTTAGGCATGCAGTAAACTTAAGTTTTTGTTCTGGAGCTTTTTAACACTGTTGAGGAATTTCATCTATTTACTTGTAGTCTTTGTACATAAACAAATGGAGGGTTCTTTTCTATACACAGTTAAAAGACTTTTATCTACATGCTTGCGCACTCTGTTTGGACCATCAAATTTAGTTTGATCAGATGAAGTTTTAAATAATGTTGTGTGCTTTGTTTGGGCTTTCCTTTAATTCAGTATGATCAGAAGGACTTTTAAATACTGTTGAGGGTTTCATCTATTAACCTATAGTGAGTTTTTATCATAACATCTTGGCTTGATAAACTAGCCATGTTTAATTTACCTAATTTTACTTGCCTTGGATGTGGCTGTTTCCGAAGTTAAACATCTACCTAATGATTCAACTTTACTGCTTGTTGTGGCAAGCTAACTTTGCCTTTTTTGCTGTAACAGTTCTTCTATTTTGATTCCGTGGAATCACTTCCAACAACAAATTCTGAAGTTAAACATCTACCTAATGATTCAACTTTACTGCTTGTTGTGGCAAGCTAACTTTGCCTTTTTTGCTGTAACAGTTCTTCTATTTTGATTCCGTGGAATCACTTCCAACAACAAATTTGGATCCCAGTGACTTCAAGCCACGAAATAGCCGTTATGATGCACAAATCTCAGTTTTTGGGTCCAAGCTTCAGAAGAAGCTAGAGGATGCTAATTTGTTTGTAGTAGGATCTGGTGCGCTTGGCTGTGAATTCTTGAAAAATTTAGCACTGATGGGTGTTTCATGTGGTGAACAGGGAAAGCTGACATTAACTGATGATGATGTGATTGAGAAGAGTAACTTGAGCAGGCAGTTTCTCTTCCGTGATTGGAACATTGGACAGGCCAAATCCACTGTTGCTGCTTCTGCTGCAACATTAATAAATCCTCATCTCAAGATTGAAGCACTGCAAAATCGTGTGTGCCCTGAAAGTGAGAATGTATTTGATGATACTTTCTGGGAGAACTTAACTGCTGTTGTCAATGCTTTAGACAATGTCAATGCAAGACTCTATGTTGACCAGAGGTGCTTGTACTTCCAAAAGCCTCTTCTCGAGTCAGGCACCTTGGGTGCTAAATGCAACACTCAGATGATCATTCCTCACCTGACTGAAAATTATGGTGCTTCAAGGGACCCACCAGAGAAACAAGCACCGATGTGCACTGTGCATTCATTCCCACATAACATTGATCATTGCTTGACATGGGCTCGATCCGAGTTTGAGGGTTTGGTTGAGAAAACACCAACAGAAGTTAATGCTTATCTATCAAATCCAGTTGATTATACTAATGCTATGACCAAAGCTGGTGATGCTCAGTCAAGGGACACCTTGGAACGTGTTCTTGAGTGCCTTGAGAAGGAAAAATGTGAGACATTCCAGGATTGCATTACATGGGCGCGTTTAAGGTACCCTCTTGTATTGGGTCTCCTATTCTTTCTTTATGGTAGGGCATACCTCATTCTGTTCTCTGACGTTATGCTTACATTGACTTCAGGTTTGAAGATTATTTTGCTGATCGGGTGAAGCAGTTGATCTTCACTTTCCCTGAAGATGCATCTACTAGTACTGGTGCTCCGTTCTGGTCAGCACCAAAGCGATTCCCTCATCCACTTCAGTTCTCAACTGCAGATCCAAGTCACCTCCATTTTGTCATGGCAGCATCAATATTGCGAGCAGAGACTTTTGGGATCTCTGTTCCTGAGTGGGTGAAACATCCTAAGACATTGGCTGAGGCTGTAGAGAAGGTGATTGTGCCAGAATTTCAGCCAAGAGAAGATGTGAAAATTGAGACAGATGAAAAGGCTACCACTATATCTACTGTATCTGTAGATGATGCAGCGGTAATCAATGAACTTGTCAGGAAACTAGAGCAGTGCAGGCATAAGTTGCCACCTGAATACAGGATGACCCCAATTCAGTTTGAGAAGGTGGTTTCTCTTGTTCAATTTATTTAGCATGCATTTATTTGGATCATCCTGCTGTTGAACAAAGCAGGATGTTATCCTACCTTTTTTTTCCATTTATTATAGCAGCTGATAATTTCAAAATATTTGCGTGAATTGATGTTTTCTTCTTGTTGTGGACTTGGAAGAATTTTTAATATGTGGCCAAAATATAATGGGAGGTACATTATCGGCCATTTGATGTGCCAGCCCAAATTTAAGTGAATTTCCTTGATTGTGCAGGATGACGATACAAACTACCACATGGATCTGATAGCCGGTCTTGCCAACATGAGAGCAAGAAACTACAGCATTCCTGAGGTTGACAAACTGAAAGCCAAGTTTATTGCTGGAAGGATCATCCCTGCTATAGCAACCTCCACAGCTATGGCCACTGGTCTTGTGTGCTTAGAGCTGTATAAGGTTCTGGATGGTGGGCACAAGGTGGAGGACTACCGCAATACATTTGCCAACCTTGCACTCCCTCTATTCTCCATGGCTGAGCCTGTCCCACCCAAGGTTATCAAGCATCAGGATATGAGCTGGACAGTTTGGGACAGGTGGATTCTAAAAGACAATCCTACATTGAGGGAACTTCTGCAATGGCTCAAGGATAAGGGGCTTGATGCCTATAGCATTTCACATGGTAGTTGCCTGCTCTACAACAGCATGTTCCCTCGGCACAGAGACAGAATGGACAGGAAGATGGTTGATCTGGTTAGGGAAGTGGCCAAAGCGGACTTGCCTGCATATCGTCGCCACTTTGATGTTGTTGTCGCATGTGAGGATGATGAAGGCAATGATGTTGACATTCCCCCAGTATCCATTTACTTCTCTTAGGTTATCCTGTCCATTTCCCAGCCAGCTCGTCATTCTTGATTTTACGATGAGGTTTCGGAGTCCTTTCAACGGTTAGATTTTATTTCAATGCTGCATCTGTGAGTACACAGGATTTGATATTTTTCACACAACCATGAGACATAAACTAAATAGTAACTTGTATTCCCCTGCGATGCTTTTTTTTTTCGCTAGATATGAATAGGAAGTAATGTGAAACCTGAGTTTTTGCCATGGCATTTGTCACGAGAAGAATATCTGCTGTTGATGTCAGGTTATCTGCTGCGGTTCTCGACCCTACTAGTTTTTCTTTGATCAAGGAGGCTGACTTTGGCATTTGCATGGCGGATACAACCGGGTCCTGCGAGCTGGTGATATCTTTCAATAGATTTTTGAAAGAGAATTTAGTGTGAGACGCTAACTTGCCCCATACGAACTTGATGTAATTTTCGTTGTTTGTCGCCGTGACTCCCTTCCTTGTATGAAAACACGATATCCATAAGCTTATTGCTATTTAGAATAATAACATTTAATAAGAAATATTATTTGGATAGAAGAAATGAAAGAAAAAATATCTTGAAAATACATCCAAGTTTTGAGAATAACATCACCGATGCTATTAGAAAAATCTTGGCATCACAAATTCAAAGACATTAAAAAAACATAATCAATAACTACCGGGTTGTTATATTTATCATCAAAAATAAATAAATCATCTATATCTTTGGATGTCGAGTGCAGCCTAGATAAGTTATTGTAGCATATCGTTAGAATTATTTTATTATTATTATTTTGGTAATATTAGTAGTTAGAATTATTTTATTATGAAATTTTTGGTAATATTAGTAGTGTTATAATCAAAATTTCAATGTATATTTAAAGTTTATTTTTCTTCTATTTACTCTCTTGCCCATTTAATATGTTTTATCGGATTTTACTATTTTGAATACCAACAAATTAAAAATATCACGTTTTCTAATTGCAACATGTATTATGTTTACTTCATTGATTTTTTTAGCCATCAATATTTTTACTTTACTGTGATAATTGTTTTAAAAACAATCATGCCTGCCTTTGAATTTAAACAAAGTAGAGGAACCTTTCGAGTCAAAACAAAAATAAATAAAAAACATGCCAAGTTCTTGATTATAATTTAATACCTGCATTTTTTTTTATTGCTTTGTTAACCTTATTTTTGAAAAACAATATAAATTAATCCTTTAATTAAAGCTGACTGTTAATTCTTCAAGAAATTTTTAAATAACCTTTTTAAATATTTTTGTCTAATGGTTGTCCTTGCAAAAAAATAAAATAAAATTATAAAGCATGTGTTAAGGGTGAGGTTGTTTTTTTTATAAGATAAGTTTGACATTAAAAAAATAGTTGAATATAAAATATTTCTTTTATGTTTTTTAAAGTCTGGTACTGAGAAATAACATGGTTGCAACTCTCTCCCTATATATATATATATATATATAGACACACACACACAAGATCTTAGACACAGGCCAAACTCTCGTGTTTAAATCTGCATACTCAAAACTTAAGCACTTGAACTTAAAATTACATATAATTATTAGACTCAAGCAAATATATTTTAATTATTATACACAAATTATCATAAAATCTAATTTAATATTTTAAATATAAAATTAAAATTTCTTCCCATTTAAATAGTTTAAATTTATTATTCCTCCAATAAAAATTCTATCTTTTATTATTAAATTCTATCTTTTATTATTATTATTATGATTATTCAAGTAAAGTTATTGTTATTATTATGATTATTCAAGTAAATTTAAGTAAAGTTATTGTTATTATTATGATTATTCAAGTAAATTTAAGCCGTACAAATAATAACACGAGTTAAAAAATAATTTATGAACAAAATATAAATAATTTATAATTACCAAATCATTATAAAAATATAATTTAACATTTTATATCTAAAAATTCAAATCAAATCTCCTGTGAGTGATACAATTAAAATAAAAAATATTCTCTTCTTTTTATAGAGATGCAATCACGCAAACAATTCAGAGAAACTAGCCCTTCAACACACGGTAGTCCTACGTTGCTTTTGCGGAATATAATCACAACCTCCTTTGCCTATTTATAAAAAATTAATCAATCGCAAATTTCTTGATTCTATAAACAGGCCCTTCTTACTCCAGAAATTTGCCACCACTTCAAAATGTAATCCGGGGCTGTAACATCAAAGTTTATCAGCACCCTCATCAAACTCAGCAGAGCCCACAACTCGAAAGTCCAGTTGTTTCTGATGTTTTGAACGACGGCGGTCATCAAAATCTTGCCATCCGTCAAGCTGTCAATAAGTTCTTTTATTATGTCATCAAACAACAATGGCTGGGATAGGAAAGACACAGGAAGTAGGTGAGTAAACCTGACGAAGAACGTCCATTGTGATTTCTGTGTTGTGGAGATCTAGAGTTGAGAGTTGCAGGCACATCTTGAATATTGTAGAAGGGAGGGATTTTAACCCGTTGTTGCCTAGATGCAACGCCTGCACAAACAATGGAGAAACCAATAAATACAGGATCACGTGGTAAGGTTGCTTGCCTGCTTCTTGAAGTTGAAGCAAATATAAATGGGCAAAATACTCTCGAAGCTACTGTTTAACCTCAAACATGCTGGTATCACAAAATTGAGAAAACAGGTAATAGCATAATGAAAACATGAATAAACTAGGGACCTTCAAATTAAGCAAATCCCCAAATGTAACAGGCAAATCTGTCAGAAGATTTGATGAAAGATCAACCTGCACCACAGAAAATCAGGGTCAACCACATAAGAAAACTGCACTGAATAAATGAGAAATTATCCATCCAGATTCAGTTTGTCAAGCAACAGCTGAATCATGTACTTCCCCCCACCACAGAGAATCAGAGATTAGGAGTAAACACCAAAAATATTACCTCGGCAAGAGAACTACAGTCCCCTATACACATAGGAACGTTGCTTATTCTGTGACAGAAACATTAAAATCAGGATCTGTCATATATTCATACCAATGAGAGAAAAGAATACCCAACAAGGGCAACAGACCTTTCACTTTTGAAAAATAAAACCACCAAAGAAAGAAAGAGAGAATAAAACAGGGACATGAGCGGAGGGGTTGTGGGGGGTACAATACCTGTTATTATTGACTTTCAAAACCTCAAGCTGGGTGAGAAGTCCAATTTCCATCGGGAGGCTACTCAACTCATTGTTTGAAACATGCAGTTGTCTCAGAGAGCACAGAGCACCCAATTCAGAGGGCAAAGTGGATAATCTGCATTAGATTACATGTTTGATGCCACATTATATAATCCCAAGTGTTTAAAACTATACCAGTTAATGAGATAAGGCTAATTTTTCTAACTATATCAAAAAAATGAAATTGATATATGAGAAATTTCTAAAGTCTCAGCATGCAATAGCTTGCACATAAGAAAATACACGAGGCAAGATGCTTAACCTTGCCCCCAAATCACATGTAGCAGAGACTGTGCCTTTCAACAAACCAAGATAAACAGAACTCTATAAGAAATGCACAATTTTGCAGAGAATTAAGCAAGAAATCAACAGATAATGATTGTCTTCAATGATAAATTATTTAAGGTTGATTACCTAGTACACCTCAGTTAGCATGAGCTTGGAATTCCTATAACAGATTCACGAAATGTGGATCGATCTGGCTCTTCTCAATGAGGCTTCTCTATGATTATAGCTTTCCTCATATTATAATACCACTTCATGCCAGAATGCTAGGGAATGAGACACTTATATTACATATCAGGTCCTGCTACCGACCTCCTCCTTATAACAATTACCAGAGACAACTAGCTAATTCACAGAACAATCTCAACAAACTTTGTGCAGGATAGCAACATAGGTAAATTCATTAATTATTTTAACCCACAAAAGCACATTTAGTCACAAGCTTTTCAAGTTTGGCTGCAAATCAAATTATACATGGACCAAAATCATTACAATTGATGTAATACTCACTTGTTATGGCTGACAGACAGAACTGTTAAATGCTTCAAAGATGATAGTCCTTTCCATTTAATGCATTCATCCAACATACCATTTCCATTGAGCAAAAATTTCTGAGAAAATTTAAAATTAAACCCTGAGATCCACAAAACTTTTAACAGAAGAGTCCACTCAATTAGTCCAAACAAATAAATAAAAGGAAAATATATTGTTCACCTGCATGGAACTTAAACAGCCAATTTGGGCTGGTACATCTCCAATAAAATTGTTGCTGATATCAAGGACTCTTGTAGAAGGTCCACATGTCCACACTTCCTCAGGTATTGCCTTTTGAATTCCAATAAACAAGAACAAATGTAAGAGACTGAATACTGAAAACATAATATTAATGGCATTGAATCAGGAAAAATAAAAGGTTGGCTTTCCCTCTTCATTATGGTCAAATCTTAGATCAACATCATAGCAAGGTTAGTCCTAAGAAAAACATAAGAGATTTCCACAACCTAATAGGATTTTTTGTTCATAAATGGACATGACGTATAGCACATCTTGAGTCTGATGAAGAAAATCTGAAATATTATTTCTGCCTTTTCTCTTCTAGTGTTTCATTTGATAAACAACTTAAAAACGAAAATTTAATTGATAGATAACAAGGAAAGATTTCACAATTTATACCTTTAAGTTGCATTCAGCCAGTCCAATAACTCCAGTAACCTTCCATCGTTCAACCCGGTTCTTATCAAACAAAACTCCAATCTTTTCATTCACCGTTTTATTGCTACTAGTATTAGCCCTTGAAATCGGTCGAGTCTTAGCATCTTTTAGTATTGGACCATCCTGTTCAAAGAAACCCAAAAATTAAAATCAACTTAACATAATCGAATAACAGTGTCAAAGTCTACCTCAAACATAAATACACATTTTCCAGTAACTTCAACCATTATCAAAACTAAAAAGCTTAAAACTTCAAGCTATCATCTATCAAAAAATTCATTGAAATTTTGAAACTAAAAATGGGAACTTTTAATTCTCTTCAATCACAAGCTTATAATAATTAAAGAGTAATTCTTTAATCAAGAAACAGATGCATTTAGGGCTTGAAACAGAAATACAAAAAGAAAAGAAAGAAATAATAAAGATACCCCTTGGTGCAAGCCCTGAGAGGCCATAAGCATGACCTTAGCCCCATTTGTGACCTCTGATTCCCTCAAAGTCATACCATCCACCAACAACTTCCCTGCAAAAGCGAACCACCAAGAAACGACACGCCGTTTTCAGGGCTCTTCACATTCCATCTCAATTTCAAAGAAAAGAAAGAATATAAGCAAAAAAGAAGAGAGAGAGAGATTATGGGTACCTTTAAAGATGAGTTTTTGGCCACGGGGAAGAACGTTGGTGAGAGGTTGCAGAAGAGATTTGACGTCTTTGATTTTGGAGTCTAGAGAGACAGAGATTGGAATGGATCTTCCACTGAACTTCACTGTTATGTTTATCGCTGTATCTTGACCTTCCACCTCCATTTTCTTCTGTTTCCTTTCAGTTCTTGATGATGATCTTTGTGATTCTTTTTCTTTGTATTGGAGAATTTAGGAGGGGAGAAAGACAGATTGCAGAGAAGGTCTCTTTGCCTTCTTGTATTGTAATGCAAAAATTATGATATGACGCTTTTATTTGTGAAAACAATTCATGCCCGTAAGACTAATAAACAAATTTGCCTGTTTAGGGTATCCGAATTAACATACAAATACAATCGTCATTCACTCTCTTTTTAATCGAAGACTAAGCTACTAATTCAGTTTTTTTTCTTGTTTAATTACATTTTTTTAAATAATTTTAATATATTAATATTAAAAATATTTTTTAAAAATAAAAAATAAAAAAATATTATTTTAATGTATATTTTTTAAAAATAATATTATAAAAAATAATCGTTATTATAATCATACCCACTAATTAAAAATACATATTATATTTCTCAATTCTGAACTAAATATATATTTTTTTTTATTTAAAAAAACCTCATTTCTAGAAAGCTCCGGCTGCCTCAAGCTCTTACAAAAGATGCATATCTTGATTTGAACTCAAAATCTATTATGCAAATCTTCAATCCTTAGCTATCACGCAAACCCTTCGAGAACTGAAATAAATATACTTATAATTGTTATCTCTATTCTATCTATTATGCTATATTGTGCTCTTAGATTTAATATATTAAACTCTCTTAAACTACATGGTAATGAATTAGTGGGAAGGGTTATAATTTAAATTAATTAATTATTTAGTAATATAATGTTATGATATTTGAATTAAAATTATCATTTTATAGCTTAAATTAAAGAATTTTAAGAAAAATCAAATTAATTACTTAAAAAATAATTTCTTCATTTGAGTTGAAATTATCATTACATAATTTAAATTATTTGATAATGATATAACGACAGATGCAAGGTCTTCAATGGACGCCCAAGTAGTCCCTATATAAATAATCATGTTAGAAAACTTTGGTATCAGAGCCTTCATTATTGGTGTTGTTAATAAATAGAAGTTATTCGTGTATACGATTACTGTTTACATTTACGATACTATTTACCTATATGACACTATTCATTAATACAATATTGTTTACATATGTTACTGTTGGTATATATAGAAAGTCAGTGCGGTGATTAAATACAATTTAGAAAGTTCTATATAAGGAGATTAGGTTTAAGGCGGGACTGTTTGTAACCCCTCCAATCTTTCCTAGGAATTTACTTAGTGAAATATTATTCACACGATACTATTTCTATATACATTACAGATCTGTGAAACGGTAATAACTGAATAGATCACGGTAAATAAAATGAAAGCAAAGTATGAGATTGAGAGGTTCAAAGGGAGTAATTTCTCAATGTGAAAAATGAGAATCAAGGCAATCTTAAGGAAAGATAATTGCTTGGCAGCCATTGGGGATCGACCTAAGAAGATCACTAATAATGCAAAAATGAGAATCTAGTAATGCTATTGCTAACATACATTTAGCATTAGCCGATGAAATATTATCAAGTGTGGCAGAGAAGAAAACAATTAAGGAGATATGAGAGACTCTAAAAAGGCTATACGAGTCCAAGTCTTTCCACAATAAGATTTTCTTAAAGCGGAGGCTTTATACCCTTCAAATGGCAGAAACCATGTCAGTGACTGACTACATCAACACAATAAGAACTCTATTTTCACAACTCACTACACTGGGTTAACAAATAGAGAAAAATAAATGTGTAGAGCTTTTACTTCAAAATCTTCCCGATTCATATGATCAACTCATTATCAACTTGACCAATAATATTCTCTCAGACTATTTAGTCTTCGATGATGTTGTAGCCGCTATCTTGGAAGAACAAAATAGGTGCAAAAACAAAGGAGACAAAAATAATTCAAACTAAACAGAGACGTTGTTGGTGTCAAGAGGAAGATCAACGGAGCGTGGCTCTAGTGGGAGTCAAAGGTAAGGGAGGTCCAAATCAAGAAGTAAGAAGACTTTGAAATGCTACAACTGTGGTAGAAAAAGGAACTTCAAAAAGGATTGTTGGTTTAAAATGATATAAAGAGTACTGCGGAGTCATCAAAACTTCAAGGAAGTGTTGCAAGCACCTCAAAAGATGGAGATGTTTTATATAGTCAAGCAACGACAATCTCTACAGATAGAGAAGAGCTCACGGGGGTCTAGCTAATGGATGTAGAAGCAATATGGCATATGACTCCTAATCGAGATTGGTTCTATACATATGAACCCATCTTTGAAGGTACATTGTTCATAGGTGATAATCATGCTTTAGAGATTGCTGACATTGTCACCATTAAATTGAAGATGTATAATGGCTTAATTCTTACTATTTTAGGAGTGCGATATGTGAAAGACTTAAAGAAGAATATTTTATCCGTAGGATAATTTGATAATCTTGGCTATAAGATCTGAATAGACAATGGAATAATGAAATTTGTCAAAGGAGCGCTGATGATCTTAAAGGCAAGAAAGACAGTTGCAAACATGTTTGTATAATGGGAGAAACACATCATGAGGCAGAAGCGTCAATTGCATCAGCTAGTCCTGCAGAAAAGAAGACGATGATGTGGCATCAAAAACTAGGCCACATGTCATGAGAAAGGTTTAAAGGTTCTCTCTCATAAGAAGTTACTCCCTAGGCTTACAAAGGTTGCTTTACCTTTATGTGAGCACTGTGTTACAAGTAAACAGTATAGGTTGAAGTTTGGCACATCAACAATTAAGAGCAAATGCATCTTAGACCTAATTCATTCTGATGTTTGGCAAACACCGGTTGTATCCTTGAGATGAGCAAGATACTTTGTATCATTCATAGATGACTTCTCTAGAAGATGTTAGGTGTATCCAATTAGAAGAAAGACAAATATGCTTACAGTCTTTAAAACTTTTAAAGCGCGGGTGAAATTTAAATCTGAAAAGAAGATTAAGTGTTTGAATACTGACAATAGAGAAGAATATACTAATGATGAATTTCATAACTTCTGTCAACATGAAGGTATCAAAAGGCAATTCACAATGGCATACACTTCATAGCAAAATGAAGTGGCAGAGCGGATGAATAAAACTCTATTAGAAAAAACAAGAGCAATGTTAAAGGTTACAAGTCTAGGAAAGTCATTTTGGGCAGAAGCAGTCAATACCGCTTATTATATGATAAATCGATCTCCATCAATTGCAATTGAGCTGAAGACACTGATGAAGATGTGTACTGGAAAACCAGTTGATTATTCTCGATTGTCTATATTTGGAAGTCTTGTGCACATGATGTACAATACACAAGAAGTTAGCAAACTGGATTTAAAATTCAGAAAATGTGTATTCTTAGGATATGCTGGTGAAGTGAAGAGGTATCGCTTGTGGGATTCCACTGCCCACAAGGTAGTCATTAGCATAGATGTTATATTTGTAGAAGGTAAAATACAAATGGAAGAACATAATAGCATTCTAAAGGAGACTATAACAATCCAGATGGAAAATACTTAGAATCATATTTCTTCTGAAGCTGTACCAGAGCATGAAGAGCAAGAACAAATAGAGTCTGAAACTCTTGAAGAACATAATACAAATGGAAGAACATAATAACATTCTAAAAGAGACTATAACAGTCCAAATGGAAAATACTCAGAATCATACTTCTTTTGAAGCTGCACTAGAGTATGAAGAGCAAGAACAAATAGAGTCTAAATCTCCTGAAGAACATTAACATAGATGTTATATTTGCAGAAGGTAAAATACAAATGGAAGAATATAATAGCATTTTAAAGGAGACTATAACAGTCCAGATGGAAAATACTCAGAATCATACTTCTTCTGAAGCTGCACCAGAGCATGAAGATCAAGAACAAATAGAGTCTGAAACTCTTGAAGTTCGGTGGTCGACTCATGAAAGAAGACCACTGACTTGAAACTCAGAATATGTTACTAAGAGCAATATTGCATACTATTTTTTAACAGAGGATGAAGAGCCATCAACTTTCTAAGAGGTTATCAAAAGCACAAATATATCTATGTGGATGATAGCAATGCAAAAAGAGATTGAAGCTCTATATAAGAATAATATTTGGGATCTTATTCCACTACCACAAGGAAAAAAGGCAATTGGCAACAAATGAGTTTACAAGATAAAGCATGATGACAATGATCAAGTGGAGCGGTATCATGCAAGATTGGTGGTGAAAGGATATGCTTAAAAAGAAGGAATAAACTTCAATGAGATATTTTCTCCGATGGTATAATTTATGACAATCAGATTAGTCTTGACAATGTGTGTTATATTTAATCTTCACTTAAAACAGTTAAATGTGAAAACTACATTTCTTCATGAAGAACTTGAAGAAGAAATTTATATGCTCTAACCAAAGACTTTTGCTGAAACAAGTAAGGAGAATTTGGTTTGCAAGTTGAACAAATCTCTATACGATCTCAAACAGGCACCGAGGTATTGGTACGAGAGATTTGATTCCTTCATAATTAGCCTTGGGTACAACAGACTTAGTTCAGATCATTATACGTATTACAAGATGTCTGAAAAAGATGATGTTTTCATCATTTTATTGTTGTACGTGAATAATATATTGGTGATAGGCCCCAACAAAGATCGAGTCCAAGAATTAAAGATATAGTTGGCTAGGGAGTTTGATATGAAGGACTTGGGACCAGCAAACAAGATTCTAGGGATGCAAATTCACTGACATAGAAGTAAGAGGAAAATTTAGCTTTATCAGAAGAATTATTTGAAGAAGATCTTGCATCGCTTTAACATGCAAGATTGTAAACCAATTTCCACCCCATTTCCTATTAACTTTAAATTATTCTCAAGTATGTCTTCTAGCAATGAAGCAGAGAGGATGAAGATGTCTCAAGTATCGTATGCTTCAATAGTGGGAAGTTTAATGTTTGCCATGATATGTACAAGACCAGATATTGCACAAGCAGTAAGAGCAGCTAGTCGATACATGGTAAATCCTGATAGAGAGCATTGGAATACTATTAAGAGGATCTTGAGATACATTAAGAGTACCTCAGATGCCACATTATGTTATGGAGGATTAGAATTTACTGTCAGAGGCTATGTTGACTCAAATTTTGCTGATGACCTTGAGAAAAGAAAATCCACTACAAACTATGTGTTCATAATTGCAAGAGGAGTTG